TGTCCAGATAATGAATGAATGAAGAGTGAGGTGAAATGATTAGTTAAGAAGAATTAGGACAGGCACATGGCTTGGATAGTTTGGGGGAAGAGAACAGAAATCTTTTGGGTGTTTGCTGAAAAATGCTGTAAATTATAGCTTTCTTTTTAAGTGAAGGTTTTTGTTTTGAGTATGCTATTGACTTTGAAGGGTCTTCTGTATACGTAAACTCATTTTACAAGCATTATTGTAACCTTATTTTCTTCTTTCATTAAGGAACAGACAAACTTAAGAAAGGGCACACACCACGGGTTTTGGAATGCAGATAAACTGTTGCACTTGCAACATTTTACACAACTTTAAGAGCTGCATCAGGCCCAACCTGATATACCTTGACGCTCATCTACATAACTTCACTGCTGGATCATATCCAGCTAGTATGGATCACAGGGCAGAGCGAGCTCATGTTGGCCTACTGAACAGAAAGGCTCAAAAGTCTTCAGGAAGTTGCCACTGAAGCCTTCAAATTAAAAAGACACCTCTCTCAAGAGTTTCTGGGAAAAGACAGGTATGGGTTTTTTTTTTATATGGTTATAAGTCCTTAGACAATGCCTAATGCAAATTTCTCTCCACTCTATAATATTACAAATGGACAGCAAACATACTACACAGTGGTCCTGCTGCCTTTTGAAACCCTGAAGAGGGATTTATATTCACCAGACTTAAGGCAACCTTTCTAATGGCCACCTGCCTGGTAGTCACATGGCGGGGAACTCTGAATGCCTTTGTGTGGGATCTCATTCTCATGTTGCAGCAGGTACTTTAAGAACTTTTTCTTTCCCTTCAAAGGAATTTTGATGTTCAACTCCCTTTGAAGCCTCCCTTCCTATGTATCTTTGAAAATCTGATCTTCAATCTGTTATTCATTTTCCCTTACCACTTGATATTAAAATGCCTTCTCTTTTTCCTTCTATATACTCAAAAATGATGGCTGAAGCACCTCCATACTCCTAATACAAATTAAGTGTAGTTGCCTGGAAAACCACTGCTCCTTCTCTCAATCTTCATCCATTCTTTTCCATTACGGTTGCATAATACATCGTAATAACGGGTCACAGGCTTCCATTTCTCACTATACGGAATCCAAGAGGATTGATTTGCACTCTTAAGATAAGAGTAAAGATCATTCTAAGTAGAAGTTGCATGCAGTTGGCCACTGTGGAAAACAGCTTTACACATCCTTACAAATTTTTGAACTACTCCCAGCCTTTCCCCTCAACAACCCTGTTGTTGGAATAGCCAGTACCTGTCGGATGAAAATAACCAAACTGCCATTTATTAGTTAAGTCATTTAGTATCAACCCACCATAGCAATTTGCTGACAAAGTAAGTTTAGAGATAAGGCATGACTTTTTAAATTTTGAGCCGTACTTCAATTCTGTACTTTGTTGCAGATTTTCTTAGGTAAGTCAAACAGGGCCAAATTTTTAAAGGTGTCCAGAGTGTCTGCTGTTCATTAATACTGAGGGTATTATGTGGAAAAATACTTTAAAAGATCAAGAAACATTCAAATACCGCAGTATTTATGATAGACATTCTATCCCCCCTCAGCATGCCAAGATTGCTTCTTTCTGAGCATTTTTAGCCAAACATTTTAGTGTTAGTTTTCTACATTTGCACCTGGGAAATTTCTGACTGGGCAAGATCTATAATCTTCCTGTAACTTCCCCTTCACTGGTTTGAAGACCATGCTGCCTGACCAGCCCAGAGAAAAGGAGGAAAAAACAAACACCAGTAAAGTCATTGGTTATAATTAGTTTTTTCCTGCTATTATTTATGGGTTTTTTTTTTTTTACTCAAAATGCTAAGGCAATTTTATTTTCCCCTCACCATGCATATATCAACAGTTATGAAGATCATCTCATGACCTGAAACAAACTTGAAAGAAGTTTTGCTTTAGAGAACTCACTAAAAGACTACTCTAAAAGAATCTCATAGGAGAACTGCTATAGAACACAAGAGGTAGTCAATCTGATTTGTTTAGAAGTTTTTAAATAGAAGGAAATAAATAGTAATTGCCTTAAAAAAAAAAAAAGCAGAATTTCTCCAGTTGCATCACTACCTGGTCAGTTCTGCACTATAACAATTTTGTTCAACTGATGAGAAATTAAGCACCCCAGTTACATAAAAGCTCACAAACAATTATATAAAAGCTGCATGCAGAGATTAAACTAAGATTCAATCACACAAATAAATCCCCATTCAGTGCTTTGAAAATCTACCACTAAGTGTGAAGCTTAAAATTTTAGCTAATAACAGTGAGCTCTCTTCCAACCACATCCTTTTGTAGGACAACATCAATAAGAGACAAGTCTGAAAACGTGCCTTAGAGGAATTAATGAACATTTGTTTGAAACAGGGCCATTTCACTTTGGGACAGGTTTCCCCCCACAATCTAGTGAACATACTCTTCACTTTGGGGTACGGAAACCTGCCTAAATCACACCCACGGTCAAATCAAATTTAACATATCTTTACAACACATTTATAACATGCAAATATGTATATACCTGGAGGCCCTGTTTCTCATTCACATGATGGCTCTTATGCCAAAAAAAGGAAGACTGTCTTGTATTAGTGAGAATGAATGCATAGATTAGAAGTCAGCTTCCTCTATTGTATTTAATATGTGAATGTTCAGCAACACACATTTCCATTCCACATGCAACAAACAAGCAAACCACACTGAAGCATTTTAAGAAAGGTGTTTGGCAACCCCATACACATGTATCCCTACAATCTGTCATTTGCGTTTCAGTGGGATTCTGCTTCAAGAAATTCAGGGGAAAAAAGTTTTACTTCACCCTTCATTAAAAAAAGAAAGCCTCACTACATTCACTCCATTTTTTCTTAAGCTTGTTTAGCAGCTGGAAGAACCCAAAGCAAACATTTTCTCAAGAAAAAAACAAATTAACAGTAAAATTCCACCTTTGGATTCTTAAGCATCTACTTCACTCGCAAAACGTGGCTCTTAGCACGCATCTAGTTCAGAAATGAATGATTCTATTTTTTTTTTTCATTATTTGTCACTTAAGAACAACCAGAGACAGGAATTGTAAGTTTAAAAAATTTAGACCAGATTCACGGAGCATGAGATACTCCTCAGGACTCTCTTTGGACAACATCTTAAAATGCATGCTAACAGCACACTTCTGGTACGTTCACCACAGCTACACAAACCTGCCGCGGTTTGTGTGCTAGTACTTAGTAACCAGTCTGCAGTGCTGAGGAGAATCATGTCACCTGGGGGAAAATTGCAAACAAAAGAAAACTTTGACCTCATCTCTGATGGCAAATGTGTATTTCAAGTTCTATTTTTCTTGGTAGAATTCACCCAGAATGAAAAAAACTGAACTTTAGAATTCTAATGTCAGAAAAATAATTTACTATGGTTTAACTTATCAGTCTGAGTTTATTGAAGAATGTAAGTAGGGATACTACTTTCAGAATTATTTGCTACATGAGGTTAGTGCATGAACGGATACAATATATAACTAATTTCTTGACAAAGTAATATTAAGAACCCAACGTTCAGAGCACAAGCCTGCACACAACAACTATTTGGAACAAAAAGAGTAGCCAGATGGTGAATGTCTTTCAGTGTTTCAAGGAGCACTTCCCATTTCTGTGTTACTAAAGAACCTTTAAGTTACACAGAAGGTACAAAAACTGGTGAAGTTTACAGCAAAGGCCTTAGTGATCAAGAGGGATTTTAACTCAAAAGGGTCAAACAATTTTATTCTGTACTAAAATCAGTATATACCTGACACTATAATGTAAAAATATAATAATACACTTGATATTATAAAGGAAGAAGACTCACCTGTGGACTTGAAATATTTTTCTGCTTAAACTACATTAACACATTAGGCACTTTATTTATTCTTTAAAAAGCTACTTTTTTTTTCCAAATTCCTTAAAATTTGAACTTGCAACAACACTTTTACAGCAATAGCAAAAGTAAATTATACACAACTCTGGCACAAAAGCCTGTTAATCTGATAACCCATAAGCCATTGACATGTGCCTTTCCTGGAAGAATGCAATGCATGTCCAAAATCCTAAATAGCCTGACAGCACTAATGCGATCCAGTTTATAAAAAAAAAAAAAAAAAAAAAAGGCATATCTTTGCTACAACAGTTGCTTAACTATATATTTATATCAAAAAGTTGTATTTAACGCATTACTAGTAATTAGAGTCATGCTTCTTTAAAGTCTCCCTCTATACAGCCAGCCAAAAATCATATATGATCTTTCCTATTATTGCCATAGCAATGTTACAGTAAAGAGTATTTTTCAGTGCATATTATATAAATCCTTCTGTATTTCATTATATGTCATTACTGGCAGAGCAGATAAGTTGTTTAGCATTAGTATTCTACCGAGAACAAACATAACTTATCAACTGGCTGACTGTTTCTTGAAAAATAGGTATCAGTTTACCCCATTGAATTACTACACCTGTTTGAATTTTGGCCACTCCATCAGAGCAGCAAGCTAGCCCTAGGAAATTTCAACACTCAGTTTTATCAGCCTACTTGACAAAGCTTTCATAGCCTTGGGAGCTTGCAAGAAGTGCAAACATAAAGAAATACTGAAATAGTAAAAAAGATTGCAAGATTGGATTTTACAGAGAAGACAGCTATAAACACTTCCTTTTTTCTCATCACTAAAATATCTTTGTTTTTTCTAGATGAGGTTTGTTTTAAGCATCGCGCATACTACCTACTCAATGCATTCAAGCTACATGAAAGGAACATAAACCTGAAACGGGAGCTATTGCTGAAAGTGGATAATAGTAACTACTGATAAACATTGAACATAGCTTCTATACATCATAAAAATGTAACACCTAAAATAGTAAAGTGTTTTTTCTCTATCTAGCTTACTGACTGCAGAAACATGGATGGAATAAGGAAAAAAATTGAACTATGAAACACTAAAAAACACGGTAGCTCACCTTCTGTGCCATTGGGTGTCATGGAATTATTATTTAGATGAGAGTTATCAAGTTTTGGACCATTAGGGGATTCACTACTACCACTTAGTCGGCTATGTGGGCTGGCTAGATCCTGCATTTCCATAGACCTGAAAACAAGATGCAACTACTTTTAATGACATATTCAACATGAATAGAAGAACTGCCTATAAGAAATGCTGCCCGCTTTTAATGAACATCCTAAAATACTTAGTAAAAAATGAACAGGTTCTCCCAGCATAATCTTTTCTCCTGTTAACTCTTGTGCTGTTGCTCCATATACACGATTATTGACCAGCTATCATGACTATTTTTGCAACTTCTAACAGAACGAAATTTAGATAGAGTACTGAACTTTAGACATTCATGTCACCAGATATTTTTAAGGTAGGTACAAAGACAGAATCGCCAACATATGAAGAAACCTATTCTCTTAAAAACAAATTAGTACAGTGTTTTTTCAAGATTTACCGCTCAGTGGCAATATAATGGGCCTCCAAACCAAATAAAACACTTGAAGCAATTGTTAAAACCCATCATGTAGTGACAGGGAATGAGATATTCCTGATGTATGTGTTTACTCTGGCAAACTACTTAATTGTTCTTCTGTTTCCGCTGAAACAAATGCAGCATTAAAACATTATTATATCTGCTCACTTGTTTGCTCTGTGGATTACACAAAGCGTGCCCAATTGAAAAGGGATATGACCAAACACACAGGGAATCCATATAGGTGTTAGTATGCCTTAGCACTCTGCACTATCTCAGCTGTCATGTAGTCAAAATAATAAGAGAGTAATTCAGATTCAACGCAAAAGTTAAACATTTATACAGCACACAAGCGGCTGAATATTTCCGATTCGCGTTTTTAATAGCCTCACATAAAAAGGCCAACAGCCATCACCACCATGACATATCTCTTGGTTTATGTCTGGGAAGCTTATAAATACAGTGCCCCATACTTCCGTCTCTTTATACCTAAAACATTTGATAATGTTATTTGATGTACTTATTCTAAGTAATTGCTCCCAGTAGAAATTTCACAGGTTACTGCGCCTCCAAGGCATTTGAACCAGCAATTTTTCTATTTAAACGAAATGGTTAGGCTCTTTTAAAAGACTTGTTAGAATTTAGAAAAAATTCTTTCCACAGTAATGGTATAAATATCCTAAAACATAAGTGTCATTTCAATCATCCAGTTTTCACCTGAAACTGAGATTTCATCATAAATTCTAAACATAAATCCTTAATTTTATATTTCATTACTTAAAACCAACCTACCCACGGAAAACCAGGATGATTCCACAATGAGTTAAAAAAGTCAGTACCTTACGTAAAGTAAAATATTTAGTGAAAAAGCGAATATGTTCACAGCTTACAGGCTTCGCTGCATGCATTCAAATATGAAACTCCAGGATTTACAGAGCTGCTTGACGTGGAAAACAATAACAGATATTTACTCGCCACCTGAGTTTAAGAAGAACAGGCTTGCGGAAAAACAGCCAACTTCAGTCTCAGCCTTACCTGCAGCTTGAGGAAACAGCAACATCTGAACTGGTTTGGGACTTTTGCACCTGTAAACCAGGGAAACAAATAGAAGCGTCTATTACTCCGCTTTAATACGAGGCCTTCCCTTAGACAAAGGACATCACCGCGGATGACAATTCTGTCCTTTAAACCCAAACGAAGAGGAGGAGGAGGAGGAGGAGGGCACGGCGGCCGTGAAAGGCATATTGTCTTTAAACCGAAGGCTCAACTGCTGTTCCCTCGGCAGGTCCCTCTCCCTCCTCCCCGCGCCGGGAGACGGCGGCCAAATGACGGGGCAGTGATTCATCAGGGGCCCGTGACA